ATGTATGTTTGTTCCACGCCGTTTTAACGCTCTAGAGACCACACGTTCGGCCCGATTTTGGTGCTTCCTAGTTTATTATGATATATCGAATTGTCTTATCTATCGAACTCGAAGTTTTTGAGTGTCATTAAAGACCTGACAGTAATCAAAGTTCAATATGGCAACAACTTATTGTGAAAGTATTATTACACGGTAAAGAAAAATGGTTCTGTTCAAACAGCATATTTCAATATATTTGAGCAAAATTTGTTAACGCAGTCGTGTTTTTTGAACAATCGGCGAACTAATTAGAGGCCTGTTAGAGTCCACTGCGGAACATAAACCTCCTCGGACTGCCACGATCCTGGGCCGCCTGCACATTTGCACAGGTCGTCACTACATCTAGTGGGGGGTCAACCTACACTGCGATGCCCAGTACGAGGCTGCCAGTCGAGAATCTTTCTTCCACATCGGTTATCTGATCTACGAGCTAAATGTCCGGGCCATCGTCAATGTCCACTTCATTCTACTAATCCTTTGAGCTTCTTTATATTGTTATGTATTATTAAGTAATACTACTCGTCTTCATGTCAATTTAATTTGTCTTCATTTATAATACCAGTCCTGGGATACCGAATAGGATACGGAAATTTTTATATGTCTTCGTACTCCGAAGGTTCCGTACCTACCCATTATACGGCCATAATAAAATTGGTATATAACCACCACGGATAGAAAAATCTTATAACGGTTCCATTTTTACCTTTTAAACAGGGGAACTCTTAAAATAAATCCATTTTAAAATGTTTTCAAATACCATAAAAGAAAATACTCAATTGAAAATAGAGGCCCATAACTATTAGAATTAATTGTAGGTCGTTTAAACACCGGCCCTCTGTTGAAGTTGAACCTACGATCCACGTCAGAGTCACCACGGTCTTACAGAAGACCGGCGTCAAGTCATACTTTAGGGTTTCGTCTGGCAAGAGAAGCAACCAGGGCTCAATTCATCAAAAGTTGCTAACGCATCTGCCGCCCAAGAGTTTGATGTCCATGGGTGGTAGACACTTTACATGGGTAAACCATTTCACGTTTACTGACTCTAACATAAAAACCGACCGCCGAGTCACAATAGTATCGCGTCTCTTACAATGTATTCGCTATAGATGAGTTCAGACAGGTCCTGCGTAGGCCGTGAACAAATGTTACAGGGTCAAAACCAAATGACAAGGCTGGTTCAGGCACGAGCGACCAGTTCCTAGAATTGTTTGGAATAATTTGCACTTCGACATTCAGAGATATTACACGCCCCCAAAAAAGTTATTCAATAGTAACGTATAACAAAGACAAATTATGCAAAATGACCAGCAAATATTAGGCCCCTTCTAGAAACACTTTGTATTTGTTTACATGTATGTAATATATAATACGTTGGATATTCTCTTCATATACGTACGTAAAAAGTGCCCGAACTGATTCCTTTTCTTGTTTCCTGAGTTTTATTAATCAACTCTGTTTTACGAATGAACAAATTTGATCAATAATGAGTCGGACTCGCGCACGAAGGCTTCCGTAGCATTATATATTAAAACGGCAAAAATATGTCTATTGTATGGGAGCCCCACTTAGATATTTTATTATTCTGTTCTTTAGTATAAGCGGCAATAGAAATACATCGTCCATTAAAATTTCAACTGTCTTACTATCACTGTTCGTGAGATACCATGAGATTTCATGAGATTTCATGAGAGCCTGGTGACAGGACAGGAGGGACAGACAGACAGACAGACAGACAGACAGACAGACAGACAGACAGACAGACAGCCAGACAGCGGAGCCTTAGTAATAGGGTTCCGTTCTACCCATCAGGTACAAAACTCTAAAAATTATTTCAAACTATCTGAATGACTTGTATTGAATGACAAATTAATCCCCGCGGTGGTTTAATAAAGATTAAAACAAAGTAAATGAATAAATGAAATGAAGTTGAAATGCGGCATATACGGAAAATAACAAGTAATAATATAATATAATAAAAAATGTAACGAAATGTAACACGCTAATTTATATATTTTTTTAATGTTCATTTCCTATGATGTCCTTTATACAAAGTGACATCTAGACACATTTCATCAGGTTGGTATTGCCGAGTTGCCCAGTAATCTCTTCAAAACAATCAGACGTTACAGTAATGTGCACACATAACTGTAGATGGCGCTTATAAAATTTTCAGAAAATAAAGTGCTTTCGTACAGAAAAAGGAAACGATAAATATAAATGTAATTAATGACCAATTTAATAATAATGTTTCTTAATTAAATTAAATTGATTGTAGATTGATTTTTAAAATGAATTGTCAGTGGGATTATTATAATCAACTCCGGCTTGTTTCGAGGACTATTACTATCGTCAATATCTACCACCGGTTCACAAATTTAGAACGATCCAAAGAAGAACCAGCAAGAAACTGCGACATTTTTGTACAAAACGATTCAAAGATCATTTTTATTCTTTACAGTTCATACATGATATGTTTTTAAATTGTATTGAGCAGACTTTTGGTAACTTGTTACCATAGTAGGCTTTATTGTTTGTTGCCTTATTGTAATGAAATAAATAAAAAAAATATGAAGTTTATTGCTTTTATTTTATTTAAGTTGTTATTGTTGTTGTTGTTAGGAAGTCAAACACTTCAGTCCGTCATATGATCGGGATAAAATCTTTAAACTAGTTGTAATTTAATGTGCAATATTCGGGAAAATATAAGATTTTTTTTACATAAGTATTAAAATAAAGAAAATGTCCATTACGTTATAAGGAATAACAAAATTTTATAATTGAGCGCCTGACAGGACATAATAGCAATTTATTTCTTAACCTTTTTTTAAATAATCGTACATTTTTATCTAAGATCACTTTTAACTTTTATTGTTTCTCTGCAGTAAGATAAAACTTCGTATTACGGGGTTGTAGGGTTGGGACGGTGTAGTCGATCATAGAATTATCCTTTGCTGTCTACTTATAATTTTATATTTTGTGGATCACAAGACAAATAAATCATCATCACATTCGCAGCTGCTAGCAATTTTCTGCGTCTGAAGAATCGATAATAAATCTTTATTACAATTATAATTATAGTGTGATTAACGTTATTCATGTTTTATCATCTAAAAATGAAAATGTAAAAAAAAGAAAAGTTAAAAAACACATAATTTCTTAATTATTTAAGACAGCAAGCTTTGTTACAATCTTAAATCGCTATCCTCTTTTCTGTGGAAAATAAAGAACGATATTTGTATGACAATGTCGCGCGTAACGAGCTTTATTTTTGTCCACAGTTTTCGCATAAGATATTTTTTAAACGATACGATAAGTCTTAAACGATCGTTAAAAAAAGGCAAATTTACTTTGATTTCATATGAGTATTAAACACTGAGTTCTGATACATAGGAAAAAAGGTGAATAAATTTGCAGAAAAAGGGCGAACAGTCGCCGCTGTGGGAGTCGAGTCCACGTCTTCTTAAGTGCAAAGATCTGGACTATAAACATTTTAATAGTCATATAGCAATGGCGACATCTCTATATTCGTTTTACAACGATAATTAGAACGAGCATTGCTTGAAATAAGAGAAAAACATGTAGATAAAACACGTCGAGATTTTAGTCGGTGTGACAATCAGCCGCTTAGCGTAGCGTCTGGGCGCCACCAAAAGACTTGGTTTCGATTTCCGCAGCATTAATGATGCAGATATTAGAACTATAAAATTATAAAAGAAGGTGATACCAGATAAACCAATAGAAAATAGCATTCCCGCAAATCATCACTCTTATTTTGCATTAGGCACTTAATTGTTAAAACAGTGCTCACAGATCGAATGTTGAAAATATTGTCCTCAAAATTATGAGTGTTTATATATTAAGATAGTATAATGGAATGGCAGTAAATAGTAGTACATTATTAACCGATCCAGATCCTCAATATAGTTCCTTTGCAAGCTGTTCCAGAGCAGAGCAGAGCCAGTTTTAAAAACGGCTTATATTATCCTTATAGAAGTCATTTGATATATTTTCTTCACTTTTAATTTTTTTTAATCAATAATTTAGGTTGCTTAGCAATATAAATCCCGAATTATATAATTAGTCATATAATTTGTAACTTGTTCTAATCACAAAAATCATAGTGCTATTTAATAAGTAACAAACGTTATATTTCGATCTGAATCTTATTTTCATCGAATTGTGTCTTCTTCTTCTTCGTCTTAATTCAAATTTATTATTATATTTATGGTAGATTCAGGGTTAGTTAGAATTAGCATTTTTCGGGCTTCGTTACATTATTGCAGTTGCCTGCTGTATCATAGCATAATCTCAGTTAAAATTGCTTAATATTACAGACGTCAGTAGACGAATAGACATAATATTTGTCAAAGAATAGTCAGCACGCCTTCATAATTATTGTATTATCTTTCAAAACATCTTAACGAAAATTATGGCACCTTTGCAATTTACAGGTTGTACAAATTGTATTGTATTGGAGAAAGTATTGGATATATTTATGGACACACGCAAAGCATTTTTGATAGTCTGGCAATTTAAATTCGTGCTTTGATTTAATTTAATTACTGTAAAAATAAGTCGAACTAATGTGTCGTGAGTGTAAAATAAATTCCATTATCTTTACAATGATTTATTTCTAAACAATATTTGCAGTTTCCCTTCCACATCTAATTACATATATTTCTCGATAGTGAAAAAAATATATTAATCTATCTATTTAAAGGCAATATACCAGCAAAGAATCGTTTGATAACAATGATAAATTATATCAATTACTAATGAATGAATATTGCTTGTCCCTTTTGACCAATTTCTATTCGTTATTTCTTTTAATCTCAACCAAATGTTTCGCTTCAATCGGAAATGCATCAATCAATCTTTGTGCCTTTTACACTGTGCAAAAACGTTTTATATTCGTTCTGGTGCTATGTTCGCGATGTGATCCTATCATTTAATTCCGCTTAATGCGATGGTAAAGCCTTGTCCAACAGTTTGGACTCCGGTGGAGGAAAGCCGTAAGAGATCGCGTGACTGTTGGCGGCTCCGCCCTTTCCAGTGCTGTACGCGTTCGCAATGGCGGTGGCTCCGCCAGAAGAGCGGCCGCCGCCCCATCCGAAGAACATCGGGAAGAAAGCGCCATTCGGAATCCTGGGTGCGTAATCCTCTTCCTCGTCATCGTCATCAGACGGTCTCTTCACCTGTTTCTTCTTAGACACTCTCTTCCTTGGTGCCGGCGCGATCTCTTTTGTCTCTTTCGGCTCTTCTACCTCCTCTATCTCGGGCTCAGTAAGCTCCGGCAGCGCCGTGGCTTTGATCGTGGTCGGGATTTCAACTTTTTCCGTTGGTAGGGGATCGGCGATCTCAGTAGGTTCGGTTGCGAAGGGCTTCTCAGGTGCCTGTGGGTAGTATACATCATTCTGCTGCGGTATATATGCTTCGGGAGTAGTTTGGCGGCGTCGGTCGGGCAGGTAGTACTGGCTAGCTTGTGGTTTCTGCTCCTCTGGGTTGAACATGAAGGCCGCCATACCGCCTCCAGCGGGAGTGCGAGAGTTGTAGTAGGGGTTGTAGAATCGGCTCAGCACCATGCCACCCTGGCCATTGTCTCTTGAGCCGTACGTCACTGCAAAATATATTGTATGAAATAATAAAGATAAAAACAGAAAGTGTGCTGATTTAAAATAATATTATGACAAGAGAATATTCATAGTGGGCGTCTATGTGGAGGTAAAGAAGAAAAAAAAAGGCAACCGATCAAATTACAAGTTCCTAACCCTTTCTGAGTCTGCCTCTGATAAAAAAAGTAAAGTAACAGCCTATACATGTCCCACTGCTGGGCAAAGGCCTCCTCTATACAGAAGGTAGCAGGGCATAGTCCACCGCGCGGCCCCACTGCGGATTGGCGGACTTCACATATCTTCGAAATATATCCTCTGATAATATTATCTTTTATTATTGTCCTTTTTATTCTTAATTCTAACATTGCCCTTACTTAAGCATAACATTATCCTGTTGTAATGACGTTTTAAAAACAGTTATATGGGTTGCTTCGGCGTAACCCATATATAACTGTTTTTAAAGAGCTAATACTTTGGCAAGTTCGCCACGGAGTAATTATTCTGCCATTAGCTACTTTATAATTTAATGTAAAGATTGTTAACATATCTGTCTTCAGTGTCATGACAAACATTTTCAAACATAGCGCTACTAAAATTGTGATAGATTGTGAAAGATCCGTCGAGTTGATCGATGTCAACTATTAAGAATGCATACAGTTACTCAAAGGATCCATTTTAAAAATATCTTTTTAGTGATCCCTATATCAAATTTTTTACCTATTGAATCAACGCTTCTATATCACTTGGCCATTTACAGTTTTATAGTATATTATACAGATTATTAATAACTTTTACATATTATTAATAAATATCTGTCGGGCTGAGCGATGTCAGTTATTGAGATGCGTCCGGGTACTCACAGGTGTCCATGTTGCTACCGTAGTAGTGGTAAGGGTATCCATTGGCACCCCACAGGGCGCAGGCGAGGACCACGATTGCGTACTTCATTTCTGCGAGTTGTTGCACTGCTACCCTTATCAAGGGAGTGGTACTGTTCGCGTCTGTCGGTTTTGTGATGAGCCCTCACTGCAGCCGCATTATATAGCTCGGGCGGCTTGGCCTTATTAGGATGCGGCGCACGGCGCTTAGCTTGTGCCCGTACTGCGTCTCGCTTTTCGGCGCCCCCCGTCACAGCGAATTGGACTTCCTAGCGGTGGACGAGTGGTCAACACGTGAATTCCCTGAACTTCGGAATAATTTGGACTCTACCTGTCATGTATATGACAAATGTACAAACGAGCGTTGGTCCGAATGCAGCTGAACTGTTATAATTTAGACAACTTTGCCAAGGTTCTAGGTACGTCCTGAAAATTTGGACTCTACCTGTCATGTATATGATAAAGCGTACAAACGATGGTCTGAATGCAGTTGAGAATTGTAATAATTTAGACAACCCTTGCCAAGGTATTTTAAAACATTATATTTTTAAGAGATAAAAAATGCTGCTACCATCATGTGGGATACATAACTTTGTTAGCAGGGAGTTTGATGTTGTTTATCCTGTTTCCTGAGACGTACAAAATGTCAATGAATAGTAAATAAATAAATAAATATATATTTCGGGAATTTTTTTACACTACGTTGGAACTAGGTACCAAACTAACAAAGCTTGTACTATGGGTACTAGTTAACTGATAAACGTACTTAAAGTGCTTTTCTGATGTAACTAAATACATATTATAAATATATAAACACCCTAAATATATACACTGTAAAAATACATTCGCTTCTGAAAGACTGCTCAACGTAGAAATTAACTAATCAGTTGTCAAATGACTTGTTATTTTTTTTTAATTATTCATCAAATTAAAGAGAGAATATAAATGATATTTTATATCGCTGTGTGGGGGTCAGTACGGAATCGAACTATCATGAAGTATGAAGGTCAGCTCTGAAAATCAGCGCTGTGTTGGGGTTTTGATTTCCGGCACAGCATAATGCTGAGTGCTGACCTAATTTACCGATAATAGGGCGTACAATTCTTTTCCTTTAAATTGATTTATTTTCTTTTGTTTTTATATCACCATAGTTTTTATGTATAGGTTTTGTCTTGTTTTCTTTATGCTAGTGTGTATTATTTTAATTTTTTTATTTCTTTTATTTTTTGTAGTACATAACATAAATGAGGTAACCGGAGACCACTTTTTATGAAGGTTGTCAATGAATCAGCTAGCCCTCACTCATCTATTATCAATGGGCGGTCACTTAACATAAACCATCTGCTCGCTTAACAAATTTTCACATAAAAACAATTCAATTATCTCTCACCAATGGGTGACCACAGAGACAATTGAATATTTGCCGTGAGTTAGTCATATTAAAGTCAATCTCGTTCTTAACAGAACCACACACGTGAACATAGATTAGCCGTGGCTAATATGCTGCTTTTCGAAAAAAAGAAGATCATTAGAAAGAAGGAAAGAAAGAAAAATATTTATTTGGTACATAAATACAGTAATTTTATTACAAAGAAAGAAAAAAAATTAAATTCTAAATATTAATGCACCAAAAAGTTGCCACTCGGCGTTAAATCCACGAACATTAAAAAAAACTTCATGAAAGCTTATTTTCAGTGGAACTGAAATAAGGAGATAGATGGCGATACCGTTAACTTACACAACTATTTTAATAAACCTAAGTAACAGATTTTAAAACTATCAAATAATAATAATAAAAACAAACAAGAAAACTACAAGATAATGTTTAAAAGTTTTTAACACTGTTCCAAAAATAAATGGACATAGTCAAAATCGGAATTAACTAGGCGTAGTTATAACGATCATAATAAAAAACAAAGGCGAGATGATGGAGAGGGAACACCCCTCTCCATAAAGTCAACTAGCTGTTACCCCTTTAGGTTCCGTTGCCCTATTCCAAAAATATGCAGAAGAAATATCCAAAGTTTTCGTTAAAGTCTCCCATTAAAAACAGGTATTGATTTTTGGAGGAATGGATAGCTCGTGATATATCCTAGTACTTTGCCTCTATTGTCGGTTCGTGTCGACATTGGCCTGTGAGACCTTCAGCAAATACCGTTTGGATATTTTGAGTAAAAGGTACGCAACCCTTGATGATACCCAATCGATATTAACAAGGTTCTTAATAAGACAGTTGTGGACGATAAATTCGACACCTCCTTGGGACAGTTGATCTTCCTCTCTGTGGTAAAACAGGTTACCGAAATCGAGGATTATCATGTTTTCCCCCTGCCCTCAGTTAATCCTCTTATATCCAAACATAGCCACCTTTTCTTCCATCTTTATTATCATCTCGTTGGTTTTCAATGTTCGTATCTTGTATGTTGCCATGACCAGTCCTGTCGTTGATAGCCGAATTCCATTACGAGATTCTTAGCACCCCATGCCTTGCCGTTACTATGCTCAAGACCAATGTAGCTCGAAACAGCAGAGCTGCCAGATACTAGGTTCCGCACTTTTTGGTTTATCATCATAGGAAGTGTTTTGCAATAGTTGCTTAGCAGTTATTGCAAACTAAGCTAACTAAGGCTAAAATAAGACATACTTGTTCTATTACATTGTAAACTAATCGTTTTACAATAGAGCAACTGTTGATTTTCTTGCCGGTTTCTTCTCAACAGAAACTGCTTTCCGAACCGGTGGTAACTTACGAACGTAATAATTTTTATGTATAATTTTGACATTTCATAAGAACGCGCAAGTGTCTAGGCGAATAAATTTATTTTTGATTTTGATTTTGATTTGATTTGCAGTGATTACCAACACTAGGCGAAATATGAAAGTCGTAAACACGACCAGCCTCGAGATTTCTTTTTCAGGTATTTATTCTTTGAATCATTATTATTTTTATGCCGCGATAGCTCAGTGTCCGGGCGCTGTGTGATGTCCGCCAATTTATGACTATGCCCTGAACTCGAAGCAATCAGCCGTTTAGCTTAGTGGCTAAAGCGTCAGTCAGAATGTCGAAGACGTGGGTTCGATTCCCACAGCGGCGACAATCTTTTCGTACTTTTTCTACGGGTTTTAATGATTAATCTTAAGTGCCGAGATTAGTACTATAAAAAAAAAAAAACTAAAATACAATATTTCAGTTAAGATTATTTATTGCTGCTGGCGTAAAATCTTTGGTATTATGATGTTGTTCAGCTCAGTTTAATAAAACATAAGTAAGCATAATAAGTCTATGGTTGAGATATATAATTCTTCACTAACAGTTGTACTTTAAAACATGTCAACAGGATATTTATATTAAGTCGCATTTACATGTGTTTTCCAAAACATTAACAAATTATGTAGATGTCAAAAAAGTCTGTCATATGCCATGGATTTAAATCGCGTTTTAAATCCCGTCGTTTCGAACCCCTTACACTTTACAGCGTTCGTGGTTACGCGACAGACTGAGGCGTTGGACATCTCAATGTCATTGTTAATCCGGGCTACCGCAAATTAAAACGGCATTAAAACCAAAAATAAACGAGATAAATCCGTCAACATAGATTTATTTAGTGATGTGTAATCGCGTAAAAACAAATACAAGAAATCATTAAGCACAAGCTTAGAACAAGCGTACAACGTTTGGCTTAATCGTTATTGGAAAAGAGTAATTTTTTGGAACATTTAAGGACAGTGCTTTGAATATCGTGATTCACGAAGTTATTTTTGTAAGACATACCCCTAGTGAAAGGTTTGTTTGTTTTTGGAGTATTGTTATTTACTACCAGCAACATACTAACTTCTGGATATTATAATAAATTAATCTCTCGTTTTGATTTATTTTAATTTGTTAATACAAGTATTATGTTGTAAGAATAAAACAAGTCTACATATTTCGTAACAATGATTTATTTCAAGACAATATTGGCAGTTTTTCCCCCACATGCAAATATATTTCTCAATACTGAAAAAAATATATTAATCCATCTATTTAAAGGCAATATACAAGCAAAGAATCGTTTGTTGAGAATTTAAACTATATCAATACCACTAAATGATTGTTGCGATGTCCCTTGTGATTAGTTTATATCCGATGGATTCCCTAAATCGTTTCAATCTCAACTGAATCTCATATATCATTCTGAAACGCAAAAACACGTGTGTTTCTCCACTGAACAAAAACGGGTTGATGTTCCTGGCGTGATCTTATATCTAATCCCCGTCGACTAATTCCCATTGCATTATTTCTTAGTTCAACAGTTTGGACTCCGGTCGCGGAGGGCCATAAGCGGTCGCATGGCTGGAAGCGACTCCCCCGCGTCCAGTGCTGAAAGCGTTCGCAATAGCCGTCGCACCGTTGGGTGCACCGCCAGATGAGCGGCCGCCACCCCATCCGAAGAACATCGGGAAGTAAGCGCCATTCGGCATCCTGGGTGCGTAATCCTCTTCCTCGTCGTCGTCATCAGACGGTCTCTTGACCTGCTTCTTCTTAGTCACTCTCTTCTTTGGTGCCGGCGCGATCTCTTTTGTCTCTTTCGGATCTTCCACTTCCTCTGTCTCGGGCTCGGTAAGCTCTGGCAGCGCCGTGGCCTTGACGGTGGTCGGGATATCCACTTTCTCCGTTGGCAGGGGATCGGCGATCTCAGTGGGCTCGGTTGCGTAAGGTTTCTCGGGCGCCTGTGGGTAGTACACCTCATTCTGCTGCGGTACGTATGCTTCAGGAGTAGTTTGGCGGCGTCGGTCGGGCAGGTAGTACTGGCTGGCTTGTGGTTTCTGCTCCTCTGGGTTGAACATGAAGGCCGCCATGCCGCCTCCAGCGGGAGTGCGAGAGTTGTAGTAGGGGTTGTAGAATCGGCTCAGCACCATGCCTCCGTGACTGTTGTCGCTTGAGCCGTACGACACTGTAAAGTTAGACTAATTAAAAAAAAATACCTTTTTTTAGTAGATTTTTTCGAACCTACTGTAAAAATATCTAATTTTTTGACCTAATGACTAGACTCTGGCTTCTATGCAACTTGGCTATCTACAGGTTTATAGTATGTTATACAGATTATAAATAACCTTTTGTCTTCATTTCGCGACGGTGGAATGACGAAAATCTTTCAAATACAGCGCTACAAATTTTAATTGATTGCGAAATATCTGTCGGGCTGAGCGATGTCAGTTATTGAGATGCGTCCGGGTACTCACAGGTGTCCATGTTGCTGCCGTAGTAGTGGTAAGGGTATCCATTGGCACCCCACAGGGCGCAGGCGAGGACCACGATTGCGTACTTCATCTCTGCGACTTGTTGCACTTCTACCCCTCTATCAAGGTAGTGGTACTGTTCGCGTCTGTCGGTTTAGTGATGTCCTATCGCGGCGGCCGCGTTATATAGCCCGGTCAGCCGGGACTCATTAGGATGCGGCTCACGGCGCTCAGCTTGTGCCCGCGCCGTACCCGCTTTTCGGCGCCCCCCGTTACGGCGAATTGAACTTCCTAGCGGAGTACGGACTGTCAACACGTGTCCAGAGCAACGGCTGTCTCCCCGAATTTCACCCGCTCGCGTGACTCACCGACCGCGCAGAGATTCGAGCACGGTGATTCTGCTTTATTTATAGTAGCGAAAAATCAATAGGCAAGCGCCAGAACAGGAATGCCATTGTTCTTTTGTCCAATAAAGTCTCTGCTTCGCTATTAAAATGTTTCCCTAATTAAGAAACGTTACTTGATGATCAAGAAATGAAAACAAGCTCATGCTATCACGTTTTTCTCCTTTTGCATTATTTTGATATAATTTTTGAATTCGTACTAGATAGAGTTTGATCATAGCCTAAAATCGATTTCGACGCCAGGAATATTTCTCCCAGGTTGACTTCGTTAATGTTGTTGTTCATTTGTGTTTTATTTAGTTTTGCATATTGTGTTTTTATAATTATTCAGTGAATAATATATAACAATGCTGATATGGTATTCGATAAGTAATGGAGACCATATACATATAAAGATTGAACTTTTGAATGCAAGCAATTAAGCATTGCTTGCATTCAAATGTTCAGTCTTCCTATATTACTAACTGCTATATCCAACTTAACTCGTAACTTGCTTCGGTCGACGTTTTGTGTGTCGCTTCTAACTTTATTATTTTAATTACACTATTTAATTTCATTTATTACTTTCGTATTGCGGTAAGGCATTTGGTTTAATCTAAATTATTACCACATCATGTGGTGTATTATTTGTTTAAGTGATACTAGCTAATCGATAATGGGGTTGAACCTCAGGTACAAAATCCGCTTTCAGGCGCGACCGTTACTTGCGCAGACGGGTCTCCGCACTTGTGAAATTCGAGCACACGGCGCTGTAAATAAAACAGTGTCGTTTTCAATAGGCGTTCGTGTGAGCGACGACAAAGCACTTTGCGGCCGTCGTGGAATGTCAAGGAGCTTAATTCATGGCAATTTATAAGACCGCGAAACGCTTTAGTCGACTTTTAACGCCTTCTCGGAACTGAAACGGCCGCGCCGGACTGCATTTTATCGGCGCATAACGCTCCACGTGATGCATCACTCCTAGAATAGTGTACGATATAAGAAGAAAGGTGAATCAACTCAAAGCGTCGTAGTGTTAGCAGTGTAGTAAATGAGGATTCGGTTAAACTGGGCATATTTGTAGGCGCTGTAAAGTTGTTGTACCGACTACCATAATTTTTAGAAAATGTCATTTCATCCCTGTTTTCAGGAAATGAAAAATATCATTCGAATATGACAGTAAATTTCGCCGCAAAAAAAAAATGTTATAATAGCTGATCGGTCAGTGTTCGGAAGGCCCCAAAACAGACGGCCGCGGTTCGTGTTACGCTCATTTATACATTTATTTTTTTACTTTTTTTTCTATAATAGATCATTTTCTTTATTTAATATTTTTTTTTATTTCCAAAATACATGATTTACGAAAGAAAAAACCGAGCAAAGCTCGGTCCTCCAGGTACTTAATTGTATAATAGCGAGAGTTCTGTTTAAAAATATTTGATACTTTGTGTCTAAGAAGGGTACACTATGTGCTACTCATTTTTTATTTACTGATTAAATCACGATTAAAGCTGTGTGCACCCTACGAAAGAATTCATCAGGTCACAAAATTTAAACTCGACCTTGTTCTGAAACAAGAAATCTTTATATATACTTCTAATTACCAATATTCAACATGTATACACACAGACACACCATAAATATCCAACAATTATCAATTGCGCTGTCTACAAAAGTGCTGATAAACCCACAGACACAACTAATGATCAGTTCTTTGTCATCGATGAACCGAATATTTTCGAGCCGTAAATATGTTTTCGAGTTTGCATATTGAAAATAAAATTACCCTCTAGGGTAAAATTACCCTAGAGGGTAATTTGAAGCTTAGTTGAAAATAATCATTTCTTTAGTATATTTTGTAAGTATATTTTGTTACTTCCCTACAGATCGGATACGATTCTTAAAACATTCCAAAACATGTTCGTTATTCACGATAATAGTGCGGCGATTGCTAGCTATCGGCGATTTCCGTACTTGTATGGAAATCTCCAAAGTCTCTTGCCAGCACATGGCAGTAGGTAGCCCGTGGGCCTCAAGATGCCAGCCATTCTGTGCACGCGCCACCGCGGCCGTGCTCGGCATGCGCCGAACGCCCGCGAAAACCAGTGCAATAAAGATTGGTTTTTGAATATGTGCGGATAATGAGTCCGTCGTTAATCTGGATCCTCAATAAATCGCGACGCTGACAATCGCCAATTTGTTATGTAAATCGTTCGATTATTAATTCCTCGTCAGTATCTCCCAGTGTTTGGTTAGATAAAACTGTTTTACGGATTGTAAAACCATGCATAATACTAGCTTAAGTTTTTTTAACGAAATTTTTCAGTATTTTTAATGTTAAATTTTTAGATTTCACTTAAAACCAATCTCACTCTTTTGTATCACAGGTTTTACATTTTCCTTTCTCTCCTAGAAACTATGTGATCTTCATATTATGTCATATTGTCCTAATAGTATTTCTAATTAAAATCCCGTTCGCCCTCGCCTATCTAACACTTACAATGACAAAGAAGAGTATCAGTGAAGGAACTTTTTCCGCCGATAAGCGCTTAATAAAGCAGCTATGATTTTATTTTTTATGGAATAAAAACAAATTTCACCAAGTGGTTTTACTTTGACGTCACACTTGGCTTTTAAATAAAATGAAAACTTTGTCTACCATATCGATTAGTATTATTTGATGTTTTTAAGCTTAGTAGTGAATGAAAACAAAGCAAGGAAAACTGCTTGTTTGCAAATCAACTCGAGTCCCGTCAAGCCTACATTTGTGGTGCGTGAAGTAGCGTAGAATATACGGCTACTTCTTCCATATGAAACTTTATTATTAGGCTCTATCTTGCGATGTATTTACGTGGTACTGTCATATTGCCCTTGAAATTAATAGATAGAATTGTTTTTTTAATGACAACGGACTCATATCTGATACTTAACGGAGAGTTTAATCCGTAATTAAGTATAAAAATATTTACACTATCATAAATTGCTTTTACTTAAATTGGGATGGCACAGCATGCATTACTTCATTCTGATATATCCACACTAAAACATTAAATACTAATGAGTTAGACTATTACAAAAAGTATCGGTAAAAAGTGTCACGTGTCGATTTTGGAGTTGCTTCTTGGCTGCTGAACATCCGCCACGTGTGCGGCAACACGTGACAGTGATCTCGATTACTGCTAAATATTAATTACGCTGCAATAGTTATTTAGCTGCAGTACGTCCGTCTGCAACGTGAATAAATTAGAAGAAAAACTTCATTGGATTCGAACGGCATTCAATTCGTCCGATATAACATTGAGGCTGCGCGAATATTCTATTCGTATTGCGGTCACGGATTACCCGAGCACCCAGGTGATACGATCGGTTTCTTTCTACTGCCCCGATAAGATCAGTGCCCACGGCATAAACTGGACTAAATGGTCATAACAGTCAAATTTGCGGGCCGGCACGTAGCTCCCCTGGACGTTCGCGCGGCAGACGGGTGCCGGAAGCTTTTCGCGCGGTCCATTAGTATGACCGGCAGGGCTGGCTGATTCACTCCGCGGCGGCCCGCAATCACAACTCCGAATGGCCGATTTTATCGCAACTATTTTAATGTGTCCCACACGCGGACATCTCGGTAGACATTTAAAAGCGTTTGTAAATGGTTTTTAATGGGAAAAGGTAAGTTTTTTTATGGTACGCACATGTCACCTGTTGTAAAGTCTGTTGTAAATTACCACCGTCTATTGTCATACCCATTTCGTTAAACTTCGGTTGCCACTCTTTAAGAGCATTTAAATTATTTAACAGAGTAAAAGTATATATATGAACATTTCTACCTTAAGTCGATCTTTTGTGAAGCGATGATACTTCCCCGGATAAGCCTATCTATTCGTGTAATAGCAGGAGCTGCTGCAAGTGATTCCAGGATATGGACAAAAACGTTATTAATTGTCGTTTGCACAAAAATTTAATTATCATTCAATAGTTCAGTTTGTACTTAGAATATCAGAATGACAAAGAATAGCGTGGAAATTTTTGTCTATACGCTTTCTCTTCTCGTCCACTGTACCTTCCCACGTTTAAGGCTTTAACATTTCCGCGAATCCTATAAATAAAAGCAAAGTGGAGATAACGATACGCTTAAAAAATATTTGTGCGCGCCGTTAGAATATGCATTACTTCTAGGAGGCAGTCGTATCAAGGAAAACACTACGATCCAAGAAAACACATAAAGACCAGATTATTTTCCACGGGCATAAACTTGCAAATAGAAAGTGGGTGCATTTGATGGTCGCTTCACATGAAACATTTAAAAGGCAAAGACTTATTGATATTACAGGAGGATTATTTCAACCGGAGTCTAAAATTCTTGTCTAAACGAGACAAGTCATATAATATTTTTTATTCTAACTAATTTGTGGATTTCATCGTTTTCGATTTTAGAGTATTCTATATCCATGATCACGGGACGTTCTAGAATCTAGTCACCGTTATGTCGCTTACAAATTTCATCTCGTGTATTCAGCGGTAGTCTTTGTATAAGCCGGTATTGCACTCCGCGTCCTCAATTTTTTTTACCACTTTATTTCTGCCATAGCGGCACCTTGACGTTTAACTGCCATTAACTTTATTTAAATCCCTATAAAGCGTGCAATTGCTTCTGTTTACTGCCGCTTAAGCATTGCGTTCGCTAGGCACTGTAACAAAGGGGTACCGCGTGCGGCATAAGTTTTCGTCGGCAGACATTCCGGCTGCGAATCGCCTGTCAGATGTCGCGATACGGACGCCAGATGGCCCGATAGCTGTGAGTAGGCGTTTAGGTGCAAGGACCTCCTAAATCTAAACCGTTAGACATGTGTGACACCGAATGGAGATTGTATATAGGGTTATTTTATAGACAATTGATATGTTAACAAGAGCATATGCAGAATTTCATTTTTAAATCTGAATCTGGTACGTACTTGTGGCCTCATTCTTTTTCAAAATTATTTTGAATTTTTTCAAACATTATAGACACCCTATTAGAAATTGCTGCCTCACCGTCTCAATACAATAACCTATTTACGAGTACTAGAACTGTTCGCTCAATGCATAATTACTAAAACGCTTATCAATAGGGTGACCACTCTTAACGGGATAAACAAACAATGTTTGAATTGATATTTTTCGGGTTATTTCTTGTCAAAATAAAATGTTAATATTTATTTTTAATTAGGGACTGCTCATTTAACATTGTGTCAAAGTATGTACTTCATCTAAAAAATCTCCCTGTATTTGATGCCTGAATCGGCCTGAACTTCATAACAACTTGGACGGTACTATGCATATGATGCGTAAAATCGATGGCCTGAGTGAAGCTGAAGACCCTCCCCGAACTATTCCAAGATGTAAAATCACTAAATTGTTAAAATAATTGTTGTCTACAAAAGTTTACATTTTGGGCTCTAGGAAAGTTCGGATGACTACAGACATCCACGACTCAACTTTTTCTCTATCAGGATATGATTGTAGCTTATCGTCAATATTTTTCCCCACATTATATTTTTACTGGTGTATTTTTTACATTCACAAACAGAGTGCCAAGGCAAATAATTTAGCATTCTCTGTTTACGCATTCTATCACTATTATGTCTGCTATTTATTGACATTGCTAATGGGATGGGATGACAACATCTGTCATTAGACTATATTTGCTCTTATCAATAGATGTCATCTGTAAATGTTTCACAATACAAAAGTGTTAGAAGTTTTAGCACAAACCAAAGCCGTCCATACAATTTCATTAAAACTGGTAGTTATCATTTGATATTAGCCAGCACTGTTCAAAGCCAACGCTCCGCGAATTTATAATAATGTTTTGGTCGCCACTGGACATTGTGCTTCCACGGGCAACTTTCCAGCAACTGCTCTTACGTCAAAACTTCGCAATTTGTTCAAGAATGGAACAGTACCAGGTTCCCCGCTCATTCAATGCTCAGTCCCTCTGACGTCATTGAATATGTTAAACTATTATAATATTCCTACTATTTAAACACGATTACGCTACGTATAGCTCTGATGTGATATTTCCTTCCCTTTTTATAGTCATGCTTATCTCAGATTCCCCTACGTATCTGTAATTAGGTTGACGTGTATATAAATATTATTTTTTTTACTTTTATTTTTTAATTCAATTGCCACCCTGTACAAAAATAATGATTTAAATTTGTCAAGTATGAGGCATCAGTCATAAAAAATATTTGAATTACTGTTATATGGTGTATTCAGTAGAATCGTCAAAAAGTAAAGTCAAGTAACAGCCTATACATGTCCCACTGCTGGGCAAAGGCCTCCTCTATATAGAGGGTATCAGGGCATAGTCCACCACGCGGCCCCACTGCGGATTGGCGGACTTCATATATTTTCATCGTAAACATCGTAATTCAAATTATCAACTAAAATAACAAAATTATACACTACTTGTGTCGACTGTCGCGCCTGCGCACGTCTCATTTAACGGTTTTATTCCACGCACTTTTTTCCACGGATTTTTTCTTACGGTTTTACTATCACATTTTTTTCAGTTCGGTCGCGCAGCAAAATCCCTATCCCCTCAAAGCCTGCCGTAAGGAACTTCGTTCCAATAAATGAATTTCTTGGTGTATCCCGTGTAAGTGTAACATGTGGATCGCATAAAAACAAAACGAGTCCGCACGGGAATCGAATTGATAATTATACTATTCAAACAAAGCTTCGCACTTCGTCAATACATACAGACATCGAAGATACAAATGCAATACGTCATTCGCTCCGCGCGTAGACAACTCGGACATTTTCCTGTTCATTGTATCGCTCTGTTTGTGCATTAACAACACTGGTTACGTGTCTAAATTCACGATCGACGCATGTCGTTCTGTATTTACCGATTCCAGATCGCTTACGACGTTCGCCCAGTATCCTTTTGTGTCTTTGAAGACAAAGGATATCCTGTGATATAACACTCACGTACATGTTTCGTACAACCTCATTAACCTATGTCAGTCGTCTGGTTTGAAACGTGTTTGGAATCGATGATCTTTGGATGTGCACGCTACCTGCACTATTTCAATAGTCTA